TTTTTCATCACTCCCACCATCCCCCTTCCTATACTCCAGCAAATGAGCAGGTTTTAGTCCCCACCCATCTACTAAACCTCTAAAGTCATCAATTATTTCTTAAATGTTAAGTCTCAAGGTTTCTTCCTCAGTTATTATCTTCTTGATCTTTCTAAGGTTTTCCAGACTGTTTACACTTCTTAATACTCTCTTCTCCTTTGGTTTTTGTGGCACTGGCCTATTCTGATTCTCCTCTGATATTTCAGATAAATCTTTCAGGTTCCTTTCACTGGTTTATCACCCTCTCCCCATACCCAAAACCAAGAAGCCTTTCCCAAAGCTCTTGACTTACCTCTGAGATTATCTTGTAGCTACAAAGTTGTTTACATGTTATCTCCCCCATTAAATTGTGAGCTCCTAGAGAGTAGGGACTGTTTTGTTGTGTTTTGTTTTGGTTTTTCCGCCTTTTTTTTTTTGTATCCACTGTGCCTGGCACATAGTAGGCACTTAAGAAATGCTAGTTGACTGATTAAATCTAGGCATTCCTCAAGGCTCTGTCTGTGGCCCTCTTTTCTTCTCTCTCTTTCTGTGGTATCATTTATTCTCATAGTTTCAAGACTCTGTCCTTCACCTTTTTTTCCCTTCTCTTTCCCTTAGTAATATAATTTATTCTCATAAGTTTCAATTATTCCCTTTCTGCAGATCACACACACACACACACACACACACACCCCTCACACCCTCACACCCCTGATGGCTCTGAGACACACGGTGTCCCACCATATGTCTACAACTGAACTCATCTCCTTAAAAATATTTCTTTCCTTTTAGTTTTCCTGTTTCTGCCAGGGCCCCAAGTTTGTCCTCATCTTTGACTCTTCCCCCTTCCCCACCTTACTGCATCCAATCAAACACCAAGTCTTGAGTTAACCTTGACATATAAACCATCCATCCTCTCTCCACTGCGTGACCACCCTAATTCAGCATCTCATTACCTTTCTCCTAGACTATTATCATGCTCGCCTACCTAACTCATCTTCCTTAGCCTAGAAGCTCTCCATAGCAGCCCAAATAATCTTCTTAATGCACAAATCAGACCTCTGCTCAAAAACTTTCTGGGGCTGCCTACCACCCAAAAGATAAAATATAGATGTCTTAAGTTGGCATTGAATAATTTCTATAATCTGGCCCCAACCTACCTTTCAATGCCTACCTCACTTTTCTCAGTGGTGACCCCAATTCTGGCCCTCATCACCCCCACCCACTCACAAGTCTCTCCCCACTCCAATCTATCCTCCACTCAGCAAAGTGATTTACCTAAAAACAGGTCTGACCATGTCACAAACACCCTGCTCCCCTACTCAAGAAACTCTAGTGGCTTCCTGTCACCCCCAGGATCAAATATAAAATCCTGTTAAGCATTAAAAGCCCTTCATAACAGACCCCCTACTTTCCAGTTTTGTTATATCTTATATTGACACTGCCTCCTTCAAACAAGATACTCCATCTTTTGGCTCTGGGCATTTTCCCTGGCTGTTCCTCATGCACAGAATACTCTCCCTCCTCAACTTAGCCTCCTGGCTTCCCTGGTTTCCTTCAAGTCCCAGTTAAAATCCCACTTTGTATAAGAAGCCTTTCCCAGTCCTTCTTAATTCCAGTGCCATCCCTTGGTGATTATTTCCTATTTATCCTGTATGTGGCTTGTAGACACATAGTTATTTTCATGTCGTTCCCTCCATCAGACTGTGAACTCCCAGAGGGCAAGGGATGCCTTTTGCTTTTCTTTGGATCTATCAATGACATTTAACACAATTATCTGACATAGCAAGTGCTTAATAAATGTTTAAAACATTTATTACCATTTTATGCTCTCTGTGTAAAAGCCAAACTACTACAAGCTGTTCCCTGATGTCAACCTGCACTCTCTGGCCTCCATGCCTGTGCACAGGTCATGTCTATGCCCAAAATATCCTCCAACATGACGTTGGAAGTCGCCTCCTCCTCCAACCTCTTTTCAGGTGCTACGTTCTCCATAAAGCTTTCCCTCATCTATGTCCCCTCCCCACCCCAGGTGAAACTGATTGCTCTCCTCTTAAATCTCTTACAGTACTTCGTCTCCATCTGTCCTTCTCACTGCTCACATTCTACCTGGTATCACACCTACACATCTATATATCACAGTCCATTCCCAACTCCCACTAGATTGCAAACTCATTCCACAAAAAGCTACAGTTCCAAACACCAAGCAGAGGTTTAGCACAGGCAGGGCACAGGGCATAAAGTGCTGGGATGCACTCACTGAGCACACAGGGTAGCTTCACGCAGGGACTCCAGGATTGCTCCACTTGCACCTCACTCAGGGGTGCTTTACAAAGGACAAAGTACAAGGACTCTGACTGGGATGTGCCCGTGTAAAACAAACAGCTGGGAACAGGAAACTTAAAATCCAGCATACCAGAGCACCTCCTGGTCAGAAACTCAGACCTAAGCATGGCAACAGCACCAACTTGCATGTCCCACCACTAAGCAGTGATCAGTCAACCAAGCATTTATTAAGAACCCACACTATGTACCTGGCACTGTGCTAACCACTGGGGAAAAAAAGAAAGACAAAAGACTGTCCGTGCTTTCAAGGCGAGCTTAACTGAAGTGGTAGGAAGTCAAGGGGTTAACAGGCAGGCAGGAGGGGCCCTGGGATCATGGAAAGATGCTCTCAGCAAGGTAAGCTGGAGCCTGGGTCCCAATACAACAGCATTTTTCATATAATAACAAACTGGATATAAGAGAACAATTCTAATACAATGCTACCACCATGAATGCCCAGAGAAAACAACCTACATGACTCAAAAACAGGATGTACAGACCACCAAGCTCACAAGGTTTCAGTTACAGGGGAAGAAAACCCAACACCTCCTTCAGTGAAATCTTTAGCCCTTTAAGCTCAGTGATTCTGCATCCTTGGCTACTGATGTACAACCCTAGTCACTATCCCCGACTCCTAGGTTCCTCAACCCTAACCCCTCATTGCCCCATTCCAGACACCACTCCCTAGCCACCCCTTTCAGTACTGACTATACTTTCTCTCTTACTTCGCAGATTCACCCGTCCTGGTGGAAGAATAAGACTACCCCTTGCTCCTCTTAGCTCCTTCCAGACTGTGCTTTCACCACCATCTCAGAACAACCTTTCCTCCTCCAAGTTTCACATAATCCAAATCTGTCACCCAAGCCAGATCCATCTGTTGAACCCTTGAACATTCTCCTTTGTCAATGAATTTGGTACCTGGTTCACAGTCTTTTTTTCCATCTCAATTCCTGCCATCATACTAGGTGAATGCAATAAACATATTTATCCTCCCTAAAATATGCTAATTTCCCAGTTTCTCAGTCTATGCCAGGGGTCAGCAAACTGTGGTACCCAGGTCAAATCCAGGCTGCAGACCCTATGAGCTAAGAATGGTTTTTACGTTTTTAAATAAAGCTTTACAAATTTAAAAATGTAAAAACTATTCTTAGCTGGCCAGTTGTACCAAAACAAGTGAGAGGCCAGATTCACTAACCAGTGATCTATATAATAGCTCCTCAACCTCAAACAGAAATGGTCATACCCTTAATTTTGTCATACCCACAAGTGTTCCACTTCACAAACATCATAAACTCTGAAATTCTTTTAGCTGATCATAATTTTTCATCACTCTATCTTTCCCTGCACCTTACAACCCCTGACCCTACCCTTCATCCTCAACCATAACCTTCCTTTACCTCTACTCCTCGGTTCTTTCCCAAGTCATCACCCTTGTACTAGATATACTATTTTCCCTTTCCTATCCTGACCCCTTCCTTGGTGAACCAGTTCAACTTTATACCAGCCTCTATTCTTGAATCCATTTCCCCTCTGTCCCATCCACAACCACTCTCTGCCAAACCTTAACTCTGAATTACTTCTACTTCCTTCATTTCCATTCATGTGCTCCATGGAGCATGAAGATGAAGAAAATCATGAAACCATGTTGAGTGGATCCATCACAAATTAATGCCTTTCTTTTTAACTCTAGAATTCAACATATTACCTGGCGCATAGTAAACACTTAATAAATACTTGTTAACCAATGTGATTCTCCCAGGGAATACTCTCAACACAAAAACATGCACACGCACACATATACGTAGACATACACTTCAAACAACACAGGTGCAGTCCTACAGAGAATCCCTTCCCAGGTACATGAACACACAGGTACACACAGACTCACAAATATACAGATACTCATGCATAGACATAGACAGACATCACACAAGTCTCCACTGTGATGCTTAAAGACAAACTCACGGAGATGAATACCTAAACACCAATGGCGATCTCCAGTAAAAACCAACTTGCACATGAACATTCTGTACAGGACTAGTGAGCCCTTCAGGCCTCACCTTCCCAAGCCCATAATCATCCCATATAGTTCACATATAGCACCTCACTCTGATCCATTCCCATGAATTATATCCTATCTCCTACCAAGCTGGACATGAAATCACAGCTCACTGAGTCATAAATTAAAAAGATAGGAAGGGAAGGGAGAAAAGCCTTTGGGTTCATTACTTGAGACAAACGATTCATAAGAGCAAACGTGCAGGGGTCCCTAGAACAGGCAGGTGGTACAGGGTGGAATGAGATGCTGCCTATCACACGGTTCCCCTAGAGATAGTCAGCTATCATACCCCTCAGTTTACCCAGGTGCAATTACCTCGGAACTTGCTAATGACCTGCCTCTAGGACTCGGTGTGCCAATCTATCTCCCTGCCCAGTCTTTACCTCATGCTCATTAACATCTCTCCAACTGACCATCTTCGACTTTCTATGCTCATTTACACATTTCTTGACCACCGTGAGAATCCAGGCCCCTAAGTCGACACTTACCTTTTTCTACTTGTCCAATGAGGCCATCTATAGTTCCCACTCCTGTCTACAAACCCTACCCCCCCAGAGACGGCAGATGAATGTTCACAAAGCAAAAGGGAAGAATTTACCCTGGTGGGGGGCTATGGTCAAAGTCAAACGTCATTTTCTTGTCTTTTTCTTCCCACTTTATTGATCTGAAAAGAAAACACAATAGGAACACAATGAAGAAGGAAAACATACAAGAAGCAAAATCCAAAATCTTATGCCTCATTAGGATGAATTAGCAGAAGCTCCAGTCCCCAAGGATCAGCACAGCCTACTAGGCTGAACTCTTTTAAAAACAACAGTAATTTTGCCATTACTAATCAAAAACTGAGGACAGCTAGGTGGTACAGAGGATAGAGCATTGGCCCTGGAGTCAGGATAACCTGAGTTCTAATCTGGCCACAGACACTTACTCGCTCTGTGATCCTAGGCAAGTCACTTAACCCTGTTTGCCTTAGTTTCCTCCTCTGTAAAATGAGCTGAAGAAGGAAAGGGCAAACACTCCAGTACCTTTGCCAAGTAAACCCCAAATTCAGTCACAAAGAGTCAGACACGACTGAAACAACTGAACAATTACGACAATCAAAAAATGATCACAGGATTTAGAGTTAAAGAAACCTCAGAGATCATCTGGTCTAGGGGTTCTAATGGGATCTGTAAACTTGGTTATTTACAATATTTTGATAACTATATTTCAAAAGAAGTGGTTTCCTTTGTAAAGTTTTGCATTTTGCTTTAGCCACTTAAAACCATCATTCTGAGGAGGAGACCAGTGGCTTGCCCAGAATGCCTGAGGGGTCCCTGACATGAGAACAACTCTTTCTTTTTCACAGATTCCATCCTGGCTCTTAGCTGTGACTCCTGGCAAGTTGCCCTCTTTGAACTTGAGCCTTTCCTATAAAATGGAGGTAATATTGGTAGTATCTCTGGATTCATGGATCCCACTTTTGGTCATATTTTCCAAGGAGAGCAAATTCCAACAAAAAAAAAAGAGAGATCTCATATATACCAAAATATTCATACCAGTGCTTTTTGTGATAGGAAAAACAAAACCCAGCCAACCAAAAAAACCTGAAAATAAAGCAGGCTCCCATGGATTGGGGAATGGCTGAACATAAATCATCAATATAACAGAATTTATTATGCCACATGAAATGACAAACATGAAGAGCTCAGAGCACTTTGGAACAACACATAAACTGATCCAAAGAAAAAAGCAGAACCAGGAGAACAATATACCCAATGACTACAATAATCTAAGTGTAAATAACACTAAAAAGGCAGCAGAATTCAAATGAAATATGGGAATTCTCACATAAGGAAACATCCCTAGCAGTGCAGATCAGCAGAAAAAGTTGCCAAAAGCACCCTAAAGAGGTTAAGTGATTTGCCGAGGGTCACACAGTCAGTATATCAGAGGCAGGATTGGAAACCAGGTTTTCTTGGCTTTCAAGGTTAGTTCTCTACCCAACACCAAACCAGCTCTTCCAAACATGAGATCATAAAAAAATCAACAGGGATTTGGATGACTAAATGGATCCTCCTTTGCAGTTTCTCTAGAAATAAGAAATACTGTGTACTTTTCAGACTTCCTCTATTTTTTTTTTAACTTTTGCAGACTTGCCCTCTTAGGAAGCTAAGTTCTTGTTAGAACAAATAACTTTCTTAAGAAAATTAATTAAGGGTGAAAACCACGAAGAATACATCTCTAGTTAAGACCTTTGCCTTACTACTCCCCAGAAGGACAGTAGGAATTGTTCTCTTTTCCATTCGGAAGGTACAGGGAGATACTGATCACAAGAAGGGGGCCTTCCTTACTTGGGGGGAGGAATCCAGGAAAGACTTGAGCAGGTCCAGTGGTTCTGGAAAGTTAACCCCAAACTGTCTTTTGACACATTATAATCTTTTCTCTATTCAAGATTTCTGTAAATGTTACCTCATATTGTCTTGGGGCAGAGCCATGTCCAAGGGCATGGGGGAACTATGCCAGTTTGGACATATTTCCCTCTAATCTAGAAATGTTTAGAATAAAAGCTTTTAAATTATAAACTGTTTCTGGAAGACTGGTGCCTAAAACACATGGTATAGAACTAATATTTTTTCTTTGACAGCTGTGTGACCCTGGGTACGTCACTTAATCTTTGTCCATCTTAGTTTCCTCATCTGTAAAATGGGGATAATAAAAGCATCCAATTCCCAAGGTGGTTGTGAAAATCGAATGAGATATTTGTTAAGCACTTTTCGAACCTTAAAATGCTATATCAACATCAGCTCTAGTTATTGTTGTTAGAGAAAAGTAGCAGATGGACTGTTCAACTACTGCCCTGGTAATCCCAAAATATCTGGAAAGAGCCCCAGGTGTGTTGGACACATTTTATGGAGGATTTAAAGAAAGATGTGGGGGGCAGCTAGGTGGCTCAGTGGATAGAGCACCGGCCCTAGAGTCTGGAAGACCTGAGTTCAAATCCAGCCTCAGACACATAACACTCAATAGCTATGTGACTCTGGGCAAGTCACTTAACCCCAACTGCCTCACCAAAAAGAAAAAAAAAAAGAAAGAAAGAAAGATGTGAATACCAATTATGCAGAATGAGAAGGGAGGCATAGCTTTCCATCTTTATCAGTAAATAAGCCATATCAAAAAATCATGGACCCATCAAATTACAGAATTAATTTATGACTTGCCTTATTTCTTCCTCTTAGATTTGGCCTCTAAGCAACCAATTTCCAGCTTTCATCATTTTCATAACTGCAAATACTCAATGGTCTCACTTAAATTCTCTAACTTAGGAGTAAAGCTGTCAGCAGTTATTTTCTGATGACCTTCTAACCTTTGCATTTGTTCTCTCCTCTTTAATTTCAGATTTTAAGAAGTTATATCTTATATCTTCCTCCTTTTAAAATTTGTGTTTACAGCGGTACTTGACATTCCTTTCACTGTCCCTCTTGGCCTACCCAGACTACTTAATATTCCTTTCATTATTGAACCTGGTCCACCCCAGACTACTTACCACTCCTTAATCCCATCCTGATCCTTTTTCGTCCCTTTTTGTATATAAGTGTCAGTCTCACACCCATTAAGTTGAATATTCCCTAAGAATCTCACCAGCTTCTATTGGCATTACAATAAACCTTGTCATTTGACATGGGGGAAAAAATACAATCTATTTTCTCGTTACATTTTTTTTTTGGTTAGATAATGGGGTTAAGTGACTTGCCCAGGTTCGTACAGCTAGTAAGTGTTATGTGTCTGAGGCCACATTTGAACTCAGGTCCTCCTGAATCCAGAGCCGGTGTTCTATCCACTGAGCCACCTAGCTGCCCCTTATTTTCTTTTTCATCAGAATATTCAAGTCACTTAATGTTATAAATGTTAAATCTGATTTATCTTCTGACATGTACATTTTTCCTATTTTTGTTCTTAACGTTGTCTGGAAAGAACAGTCTATTTTTCTGCACCTATTTCTACTACTACAACTAATTCATGAGTCGAATGAAATATTTGTTTTTTAAACTAGCGTCTACTTATGATTACTGAAGCCCTGAGACAGCCTTTGAAAATGGGAATTTTCCTTCGGCCAACTCCTTTCCTGCCCCTCCCACCCTCCCTTCTTTTGGTGATTGTTTCTCTACATTTTAGATTCTTTTTCAAACCTTTTAAATGCCACAAGTGTGAAAAACAGTGGGTAGAGTTAATGCAAATCGTTCCCTGACTTCTAAGAGGTGCTGTAGAACAGCAAGAAGAGAATCTATCAGGAGTCACAAGACCTGGATTCCATCCTCACTCTGCCACTTAATAACAAAATATTTCAATAGGATAATACAGTTCTTTACCAATATCCTCCTGCCCTCCTAACAAGGTTCTCCTTCCCCCATGGGGATGGCTACAATGCCCCAGGTCAGGTTGGGAATCTGCTTTACAGGGACTCAGAGGAGAAAGAGAAGAGGATAAATCTCTCAAAAGAGATCTAAGACATGATATAATAATAAAAACAACAACGCTAACAATAGCCGGCATGTAGATATGTTGTGCTTTACATCTTACAGGGCATTTTACATCTATTATCTTCATTTAAGCCTCACAGCTTTGTAACTGATGACCCCTGGCTTATGCCTGGGCCCTCGGCCCCACACTGGGAGACAGCAGGGTTCAGACGGAAGAGTGTTAGATTTGGAGTTAGAGGACCTGGCTTGGAGTCCTGGCTGTTGCTATCATGTAACAGCATCCTTAAGAGGGAATCAACATTTGAGATAAGTAAAGAAAATAGTAAGAGGACATCTAACTGCCCTTGATGAGTTCAAGTCACCTAGGTTGCCCAGAAGATTCAATGTGATCACTGAAGTACCATGAGTGAGCTTCAAAAATGGAGAATTTGAGAAGGGTAAATTGCTCTAATTTTTTAAAAAGAGAAAGAGGATGGAATCAGCAAACTCTAAGCCAATGATTTTGACTTTGATTCTTAGCAAAGTTCTAGAATTTATTATTAAAGAATAATAGTGAATGTCTAAAAATGGAAGTGATCCCAAAAAGGCAGCATGGCTTAATTAAGCCTAGGTTAAGTTAAACAAAGGCTGCTAGTGACGCCAAAAGTGCATAAAGCGCCAGGCTTGGAGTCAGAAAGACTCGTCTTCCTGAATTCAAATCCTGCCTAAGACACATACTAGCTGTGTGACCCTGGACAAGTCCCTTAACCCTATTTGCTTCAGTTTCCTCATCTGTAAAACGAATTAGAGAAATGGCAAAGCATGCCAGTATCTTTGACAAGAAAACCCCAAATGGGGTAATGAAGAGTCAGACATAAAAATATGTCAAACAACCTTATTTCCTTTTTAGACAAGGCAACTAAATGGAAAAGTCAAGGGAATTCTACAGATATAGTTTACCTTAATTTTAGAAAATAATTTAACAAATTCTCTCATGCTATTCTTGCAGAAATGTTAGAGCTCTGTGGAGCTTCTGCCACCAGTATTAATAGGGCAGAGTTAAGCCTGATTGAATGACTAGGCCCAAAGAGTCATCACTATTGGTTCCATGCTTGTTGTGAAAGGAGATCTCCAAGCATCCCTAGTTTGTTTTTTTGTTTTGTTTTGTTTTTGTTTTTGATTTTTTTTGTTTTTTTGGCTAGGCAATGGGGGTTAAGTGACTTGCCTAGGGTCACACAGCTAGTAAGTGTTATGTGTCTGAGGCCAGATTTGAACTCAAGTACTCCTGAATCCAGGGCCAGTGCTCTATCCACTGTGCCACCTAGCTGCCCCCCCCAAAGGAGATCCCTTATGGAGAGCCCTAGGTATCTACGTTCAGTTCTGTGCTGTTGAACATTTTATTAGTAAAAACAGAGAGAGTTTTGATTTTCTCTGTTTCCAGCCTCAGCCACATCACTCCTCCTTAGACAACCTGGTGTTCCTTCTCTCCCAGAGGGTCACCATACTGATGCCAAATGTAGAATGAATTCCAGATCAGCATAGCCCACTGTAGCTTAGAATTCCTGGGTTCAAGAGATTCAACAACCTCAGACTCCTTGGTAGCTGGAATTGTAGGTGTATGCAGATCAACACTCCCACTAATAAGATGAAATATAGTAGGAATAAATGTAAAATCTGGGTTTAAAAAATCAATTTTGCACATACAAGATGAGGAAAGTATGGCTGGAGGGCAGTTCACATGAAAAAATGATATGAGGATTTTAGTGGACTATAAAAGCTCAATGTAAGTCAACAGTGTGATATGGAAGCCAAGAAAGCTAATACCTTCTTGGGCTAGATTAAGAATGGCACAGTACATGCGGGCAGCTAGGTGGCGCAGTGGATAGAGCACCAGCCCTGAAGTCAGGAGGACCTGAGTTCAAATCCGGCTTCAGACCAAACACTTCACACTTACTAGCTGTGTGACCCTGGGCAAGTCACTTAACCGCAATTACCTAAAAAAAAAAAAAAAAGAAAAAAAAAAGAATGGCACAGTATACAGGACTATGGATGTGATGGTGCCATTCTGCTCTGCTCAAACCTCTGCTGTACTGTGCTCAATTCTAGATGCCACTTGTTAAGGAGGATATTGGTAAACTAGAGAGTGTCCAGAGGAGGGAAACCAAGGTGATGAAGGGCCTTGAGTTTCTATTATATCTAGGATTAGCCTTTTTTTTTTTTTACTAAAGGGGCCATCCCTTGACTCACTTTTTCAACAGACCTATTCATTGAATGGGTGTTGCCTCACTCAAAAGTCTCCCACAGCATCTGATCTATATCTGGCCACTGGATCCAGATGGCTCTGGAAGAGAAAATGAGGCTAGTGACTTTGCACAGCCCTCCCTCACTCAAATCCAGTTCAACGTAAGCCATGTCATCATCTCCCTGATGTCACTGTCTTCTTCACAACCACAGAGAAGAGACGAATGGAGTCATGACAAAAGTATCTGAAGGATAGTCACACAGAAATAGGAACAGACTTCTGCCTAATATCAGTAGGCAAGACAGGGAACAATAGCTGGAAGTTGTAAAAAGACAAAATTCACAACATGATTCAAAATTTCATGTAAGGAAAACATTCTTTATGAGTAGTGCTATTCAAGAGTAGAATGTTCTTTTTCTAGACACAATGGCTTTCCTGTCACTAGAGATCTTCAAGTGAAGGCCGGGCGATCATTCCTCGAAGGTGCGTAGAAGAGATTCCTCTAAGTGACCCTGGGTTTGGAGTACATGACCTCTGAACTCTCAACTCTGAAATTCCGTATTTGTGATCGGTAAAATGCAGTGGCCTTAGACCTAGGATCCTATGACATAGAACAATTTATTCTGCTAAGGAGCCCTTTTGGATTTTGGCACTTCATGCATTCATGGGTTTTATGTCTTTGTAAAACTAATCACACCTAAAGAAAATCTGGGTCATCAAGGCTACAGTAGCAAGCATACACATCTGGAGCATGCTTCAAGAGTCTGCCCAGCCCTGGCTCCTGTCTGAAAAGTCCCTATCTGCAGAGCTCTGAGGCAGGAGGCTCCCTCCCACCTTCCCACGACACATACTTGTCACCAGAGCACAGAATGTCGTCATCAATCTTCTTTAGCTCATCTGAGCAACAGTATTTGAAGATGCAGTTCCCACAACAGAACGCTGAACAGGATTCAAAGAACCCACACCTCTCACCTTCAGCTGGAAACAAAAAAAAACCCTCAAGTCAGGTCAGGTGAGGTCAGGTCAGACTCTTGAGCTGACTTTCCTTAGTTTCTCTCTCAGCATAACTAGGCCTGGATGGGGCTTCACAGAGTGGAGGTTTGGGAAATCTTTGATGAATAGCTTCTGGCAGAAAGCTGTAGCCCAGGGTCTACGGAAGCTTCCTCCTTTCAAGCATCCCTGACTTTCTCCATCCTCACACCCCACGTCTATCCCATCAGTACCATTCTCCCCTCCTCCAAGTCATACTATTCACAGCTGCCAAAGTCATCTTCCTAACATAGAGCTCTGACCATGCTGTTTCTCTGCTCAAGAAGAGCTTTCACTTCTCAGCAAGTCCAAACTCCATTACTTGGCACTATCGCTCAGAAGACAACAGTGAAAATCTGAAAACAGTGGCAGAAATTAGGCACAGACTAGTATCTTACACCATTTACCAAGATAAAATTAAAATGGATACATGACTTAGATACAGAGACATTACAAAAACATTTGAAGAACATGGTATATATTACTTATCAGACTTATGGATAGGTGAATAATTTATGAATAAATAAGAAATAGAGCAGGGTGAAGTATAAAATGGAGAATTTTGATTCTATTCAATTAAAAAGGTTTTGTACAAATAAAACAAATGTAGCCAAGAGCAGAAGGAAAGCAAAAAACTGGGGAGGGGTGGAAGAATTTATAGACAAATTCTCAGATAAAGGTCTCATATCTAAAATATATAAAGAATTTTGTCAAATCTATAAGAATACGTCATTCCCCAACTGATAGTCAAAGGCTACGAACAGGTAGTTTTCTGATGAAATCAGAACAATGCACAGTCATATGAAAAAATGCTCCAAATCATTATTGATTAGAGAAATGCAAATTAAAACAACCTTGAGATATCATTTTATACCTATCATAGTGGCTAAAATGGGTGAAGCTGGATAAGTGACAAATGTTGGAGGGGATGTGGAAAAATTGTGACACTAAAAATTGGTAGAACTGTGAACTGATCCAACCATTTTGGAGAGCAATCTAGAATCAGCTCAAAGAGTTATTAAACTGCCTATATACCCTTTAACCTAGCAATACCACTACTAGGTCCATTTCCCAAGATGACAAAGGAAAAAGGAAAAGAACCTATATGTTCTAAATATTTATAGCAGTTCTCTTTGTAGTGGCAAAGAACTGGAAATTGTAGAAAAACCCATCAATTGAGAAATAGCTGAACAAGTTGTGGTATATGATTGTGATGGAATACTACTGCTGTAAGAAACAATGAGCTCAGTGATCTTAGAAAAACATGGAAAGACTTGCACAAAATAATGAAAGTGAAATGAGCTGAACCAAGAGAATGTTGTATACAGTGACAATATTGTTTTAAGAATAACTTTGAGTGAATCAGTCATTTTGACTATTATAAACATCCAAATTAACTACAAAGGACCTAGGAAGGACTACGCTAATCTGCATCTAGAGAAAGAACTGATAACCAGATGTATAGAATGGTTTTACTTATACACACACAAACACACACAAACACACAAACACACACACATTTAATGCCTAATGGTAGCCATTTCTAGGGTGGGGGGGAGGGGGGAAAAGAAAGTTACATGATAAACTTTATTATATATTTCAAAGGAATAGCAAGTTCTACATGATAGATTTGCAGTTTCATGTACAAACACCTTTACTTTTTCCTATTCTACTATGTTATGGAAATGCATGTTCTGTTTAAGTTCAGAATAAAATAAATCAAATTTTTTTTAAAAAGACAATGAAAAATCATTTTCTCTTAAGGCCCAGTGACTAGAAGGGAGGAAAAAAATCAGCCAAAGACTGCACATAAGTAATGAGTCTGATTGTGAAATGCTTAAAAAACTAGAGGAGATGATCATTTATTCTAGAGGCAATAGTGAGTCACTGGAGTTTTTGGAGGAGGGGAATGACGTGGTCAGATCTGTGTTTAAGGGCAATTACTTGGCATTAGTGTGGAAAGATGAGTCAGGGAGGAAGCTGTTGCAACAGTCTAAGAGAGAAGTAATGGATGATAAGCCTGAACTAAGGCTATATGAGTGGAAAGCAATGGTTGGATGTGAGAGTTGTAGAAAAAGAAAAGTAAAGATTTGGCAACTGAGTAGATCTGTGTAGTGAGGGAGAGATATACCAGCATTATTAACTTGGGAGACTGGAAGAATGGTGGTACCTTCAAAAGAAAAAGGGAAGGACGGAAGAATAGGAATAGGGTTGGGAGGTGGGTAGAAATCATGAGTTTCTGTCTTGCACATAATGAAGTTAGGAGCAACAGCTCAACATTTTGCATGGCAGAGCTAGGATCTAAAAATGTCCTGACAATTTAGGATGATGGAATGCATCTAGAGTGAAATTTAACAGAGATAAATGCATAGTCCTACACTTAGGATCAAAAAACCAATTACCTCAGTACAAGATGAAGAGACCGAAGACCACGTGAAAAAGATTTTGGAGCAAGGGGTGTTACTAGTGATAATAGGAGCCAACAACGTGATGTGGCAGTCAAAATAAAAAAAGCATCATTACAAAAAGCAGGGTCTTGCTGTACTCTGCCCTGGTCAGTCCATAAGTGGATTATTTTTTTTTCTGTTCTGAGTGTCACATTTTAGGAAGGAAAGCTGATCAGGATGATGAGGTAACTTGATCTCACTTCCCATCTGGCTATGCTCCAATGGACCTCAATATACCCCAGGAATCTCTTTACTCCGCAAGATCATTTCAGCCCTGGAACTCCCACTTGTCAGTACCCTCTGCACCGAACCCTTCTCTCCCTCTGATTGGAGGGTGGCAAGAAGAGAGCTTCTCCCAGAACCTCAACTTGAGGAGGGCCTCCAGACCATCCATTTCATTTTCCATCTGGCTGAACTCAGGACTTTATCGTGCACCACCCCACCCCCTTAGTATCTTCCCTCCCCACACCCTTTAGGGCTTCCTTTTGTATTTTGTCTTTCCTCCTTAGATTGCAAGCTCCTTGAAGGCATGAACTCTTTCTTTGGCTTTCTTTGTATCCTCAGTACTTAATACTGAGTACTCAGTACTTAGTACTATGTGCCTGACACCTAGTAGGTGATTAATAAATATTTACTGACCATCCAGAGACCCATATCACATACAATTCAATGTATAATTCATATAATTTTATTCCATTTACTAAGTCCTGCCCCTTCTTCCTCTACAATATCTTTCACATTTATCAATCCAACAACTATTCTTTAAACATCTACATAAAAAGGAGCTGGAGATGTCTAGAGTGAAAAGAAAAGTTGGGGGGATGGTAGCTGTGTTCAGGGCAACGGTAGTGTAGACTGGTAGAGAGATTCGGGAAAACTTTTATCAGAATTCTGCCTGAGACATTAGGTGACTTTAGACTAAGTTATTTAAGCTATCTCAGCCTCAGTTTTCTCATCTGTAAAATGGAGATAATGATATATGTAGCTCTTACCTCAAAGAATGGTCAGGAGGATCAAAAGAAATAGTCTATGTTGGCTATATGTGTGAACTCTTCAAGTAATTGAAGAGTTATCCTGGAGAACTGGAATTCAACATTATACTTACCTGATTCTTCTTCTTTTACAACATGACCGACGTGGAAATATGTTTAATATTATTATACATGTATAACTTATATCAGATTGTTTGCCATCTTAGGGATGGGGGAGGGGAGGGAGAAAAAAATTTAGAACTCAAAATTTTATGAAAGTGAATGTTGAAAACTATCTCTACATGTAACTGGAAAAAAAAAACTACTATTAAGTTGGGAGTGGGGAATGACATTATACTTAGACTCAGAAGATAGAACTAGGAGCAACAAGGGAGACAGATGTGGGTTCCTTACCAGGAAAAACTCTTAAATAATACAGTGGTGTAAGAATGGAATAAGTTACTTTTGCCTTGGAAGTTGGTAAGCTCCCACTCCTAAAATGTGTTCCAGCAGAGGCTGAATTCAATCAAAAGTGAAGAGTATTTATCAATTACCTAGGTAGCCATGGTGGTGCAGGTGCAGGAAAAACAAAGACAAAGCCAAGAACAGTCCCTCCTTTTAAGGAGCTTATAACCTACTGGCTGACCACTGTCAAGAATGTTGGAAAGCTGATTCCTTATCGGGGTGGAAGGTTAGACTAAATGATTTCTCAAATCCCTCCCACCTCTAGTTCATTGACTGATATTTTTCCTCAATTAAAACAAACATGAAAACTGATTTATAATCTACTTGACCCTAAAACACAACAAATATTAAAATATACATTTAAACTTGAAATGATCCTAGCTGGAGGTGAGGGACGACCGGATGCTCATGGAACAATAGAATGAAATAACCAATAGAAGAGAGGGAAAAAGGGAAGGAGAGAGAAACCAGGAAGATCCAGAGATCCAGAAAAATACAAAAGTTGAGACATAGAGAGAGGAAGATGAAAAGAGAAACAAGGGAGAAATTCAGACTCACAAAGACATAGGCAAAGAAAAAGAAAAACTATTAAGAGAGCAGAGAAAAATTCTGAAAAAGATTATTAAAGGTAAAAGATTAAATTATGTGAACTGTGCCTTTTAGAAGTAATATAATGAAGTAAAAAGTGCTGGATCTAGAAACTAGAGACTAGAATCCAATTTCCTTCTTTATTAACTAAGTGCCACAAGCAAGTTGTTTATCTCTCCCAGGTTGTTTCCTCATTTGTGAAATGAGGATAATAGTAACTGCCCAGCCCATTTCACAGAGCTGTTATAGGCACTTTGAAAATCTGAGTTGCTACCAAATGAGATAACATATGTAAAGCACTTTTCAAACCTCAAAGTCTATAAAAATCTAGCTATTATCACCTCACCTACCATTAAAGATACTCTTAAGTTTATACAAAAAAAGTTAGTACAAGTAATTTTAACCCTTTTCTGTTTAAAATTCAACACCACAGGACCTCAGCATCAAAAAGGACCTGAGGACTCATCTAATCCAACCT